TGAGTTTTATTTATATTATTATGATGTTTGAGCTATTTGATCTTTTTGAAAAATTCAAGATGCATTACTTCTTTGTGCTTTTAAATTTCTGTAAAAAAATGTAGCAATATGTAAAACTAATTAGACATGCCAAACACTACGGAAGAAATACCCTTTACTTGAAAGCCAAAGGCATTTCAAACTCTTATTCCTCTCTTGGTTCAAATAATCATTTATATTTCAGTATAGAAAGGCATTAATGGACCGCCTTGCATAGATGGAAGGAAGGGAGGACAATGAATTTTAAAAATATATTTTTTGGTTTAGGCAATTAAAGGTAATCAACCGATCCCACTTTATATAAATATTTAATTTTTGTTGAAGAAAATTTATTGGAATTGGATTCTATTTACAAGACTTCTGAATTTCTTCTGCGTCGGTTGTTGGTGAGTTGAACTTGCTAAGATTTCGCCAATTATCCCGTTGGCTTCTTCTGAGTTTAACTGAAACTGGCTCGCATTTTACTCTGTCCCTGCTTACATATTGTTTGAGGGGGGCGGAGCTAAAGGACTGATTCCCATATTGATGACAGGTAAAGACCTGTGTCGCGATTAAGATTGATGGGTTGCTTATAGATTTCAATAGATTCTCGAATAAAATTTTATGTCCGGTTTCGTGATTGCGTTCGGCAACTGCTGGTGAGTGAGTGTCTTAGTCTTAAGGCTTTTTCATGTTCTTTGAGTAGTTCATATTTTTCTTCTCTTTGAAGTGTATATTGCGATGGAACGCTTAATATCTTTAATATGGAAATTATTAGAGAGAAGAGTATGTGATGGAACGCTTAATATTTTTAATGTAGAAATTATTAGAGATAAAAGCAGAGGTAAGGTGTTTTAATTCTAGGTTTAGTAACTCGTTCTGAGATAGTGTTACGGCTCTGTAAACAAGATAACCTATGATTTTTGGGCCGGATGGTGATGTGACAATGCATTGAGGTATCGGTCTGTGTGCGTAGGTTTTCTGTCAACACAATGACCCAATGTTCGGTCTGATTTTCTATTGGTCATAGGATCTAAGAATGGGAGGTTATTCGTTTCTAATTCAATGGTGAAACGTATATTGGGGTCTAAGAAAATCTACTAGGGATTTTTGCCCATGAGGCCAAACAAGAAAAGTATCATCGACGTAGCGTTTCCATAATTTTGGTTTTAGATGGAAGATGTCGAGAGCTTTCTTCTCAAAGTCTTCTATAAATATATGCGACAGGTCGACGTTTGTTCAAAAATTTGACCGTTATAAGGGAAATATATTCCATACAAACATTTTTCAATTAAGGTGAGAAGGTTTGGTTCCAGATTCTCGGATTTTAATATATCTGAAATGATGATGATAGTTTCAGGAATAGGGACTTTAGTAGAGAGGGTTCTGCATGGAAAGTAACCAGAATATCGTGTAGATGCTTCTTAATTGATCAATGAAATGAAATGAATTAAGTACGATACTATCAGTGTGTATATTAGGGAGTCCGTAGAGACGACTAATTTTAGAGTCATGAGAGGTTACAAACCTACATTCAAAACATCACTGACCACATAGCAAAAGTTCTCAAGGAATATAACCTCAAAACTATATTTATCACTCACGTCAAAAACAAATTTTTTTTAAGATGACAGGAGTTTACAGCATATGCGGCAATGAATATATTGGAGAGAACGGACGAAAAATATCAACTAGTCTCAAAAAACATGAAAGAGCCTTAAGACTAAGACAAATAAAACACATCAGCAGTTGCGGAACACAATCACGAACGCGGACATTCGATAAAACTTCTTGCATATTATCAATTCTTCTACCAACGAAAAATCCTAAAATCTATATAAATCTATAAGCAGTTAAACAATCTTAACCACTACTGAGGTCTTTACCTGTCATCAATATGGGAATCGGTCATCCGAGATGATGTTTATGCCCCTCATTTAGCTCCGTCCCCTCAATATCTCATATGTAAGCAGGTACAAAGTAAAATGCGAGCCAGTTTCATTTAAGCCGACTGGATGATTGGCGAAACGTTAGTTCACTCAATAACAACCGATGCCGGGGAAATCCGGAAGTTTTGTAAATAGTATTACAGTAGCCTGTGAAAGTTTCTTTGAAAAATAAAAAATGTTTGAAATTATGCTTCGCTAGCGATTTCTTTAATCTTATTGAATTACTTCTTGATCAACTGCAACGAACTGCTCAAAATACTGCTACCATTTTCTAGTGCGTTGATATGATCGGAACATTGATTAGGTCACAATGTACAAATAAGAAAGTAATTTTGAGATATTTAAAAGCTTCAAAACAAGCGTTGTGTGCAAACTTTAGTCGTTTATCGCTCTTACAGCTAAAACATTTTACCATAATCTGTCGCAATGCAAACAAACACACAATTCCATGCCGTGGAACAAATTTTGTTGGCGGAAAAGCAATTTACTGTAGAGCAATAAGAATGAATTTGCAATTTTTATTCGTTCCGACGATATCGTGGTATGAGTTATTTAAGAAAACCAGCGTATGCAGAAACACAGGGAAACGTAAATTTCACTTAATAATACACAACAAGCCAATATCTGGCCAGTTTCTGCTTCCTGTGAAATTTAAATTGCTAAATGTCTGAAATTACGTGCTATTCGGTTGCGGCAGTCGTTATTCACGAAACGTGGAGTGGTAGATGTCGTTTTTTTGGATCGTTGTCCGTTTGGACAGCTGGCCCCGCTGCACATTTGAAAAAAGCTGATTAGTCCTAAGTGAACTCGTTCGGCAATTTTTTATAGTATTTTAAGTATCAGGAATGGAAGCACAGACAATAATAATAACAATAAACTCTATAGATAACCTGCAACTTCCTCAATCTTAGGGTTGTCAATAATATGAAAAAAATATTCATGGGGAATTACCTGTGCTCCACTATAGGAATCAGTAAAAAAAGGAAATAGGAAAAGGGAAAAAATGCAAATAAGTGTATAAGAAAAAAGTATCTTAAGGGGAATTTATCATTTAATTTAAAAGAAAAAGGATCACCTGGAAGGGGAGAATTGGAGAGATATTATTCTAGATGTATGAGTTCGTAGGCGACTACGCAAAAAATAAAATAAGGACGAGACAGTTTCTATTTCTCTTTAACTATTTTAAATAGTCGACTCTCCGTGCCCATGAGAACTTACAAACTCTCAGAAATACCAACCATAAGGCTTAAACTTTTAGGCATTCACATTTACCTATTTTTTATTATATATAGGAGGATATCGTAAGGACACCCACAAACACAGCTTATATCCATAACGGCTGACAGTCAGAAAGCGTCCTCCAATCCGAAAGATACCCCAGACTCGTCGATCTCAAATGTCACGGACCAGAGCGGGGCACAAAGACTCCTCCAGGATCTAGTACTCGGGACACCAGAACTGATGCTAAATTCCCTGTCAAGAGTACTATATTACTATATAATAGCGGTGCTCGTGTCTTTACTATGCCGACGAATGAGGATTAGAGAAAAAGAAGCCGCCAAAAACTACACTGTAAACAGGCAAACTAGATTCTTCAGCAGCAAAAGTTTTACTCCAGAACCATGTGGCATGAGGGCGACCGCTATAAAAACCCTGCAGACAGACGGCATATACCCTGCGATCAACGCGAATATACTTAAAGGTGGGACGCAAACTTTGCTGGCTTTTAAATGACTAGCGCAAACGAGATTTAAAAAAGTATCGTGTAAGTGAGACTTGTGACTCTAGGGCGCAGAGTAAAAGTAGGCTAACTCCATTATGTCACTAATAATAACTGAGCGCTTAACGCCTTTAGCTTTACTAGATGATCTAACCAGCCTCCCCTAAATTTAGTATTCATTTAGTTAACATTGTTGGTGCAAACTAGCATTTATGTTGCTGGAACTAGGCACAAAACTCCAAGCGCACTGCACTGACGCGGCAAATCGTGATAACTTGATCGATATCTATCGATTAAGGAACTCGAGTGAATGCTGAGTACGGGTGGAGACTGTTGGTATTACGAGGAAAGCACTTTTTTCTATCAACAACCAGGATATCGAAAACCACGGACCCAAAATCACCAACAAAAAAGGAAGTAACCTCAATTGTCTATTTACAATTTTAGTCATAACAAGATAAGTCCCACGCACTAGAAAATGTGGGTGGGTGGTATTACGAAAATTTTAGCTGCTCTGTTTTTTTAATTGCTATGACGAAACCCACTAACGTTATTTAAAAAAAATAATTTTCCCTGCGTATTTTGAAAATAAAAAACACAATTTTGAAGAGTTTAGTGGTCCCGCACTCAACTTAACAAGATAACAAAGAAAGTCTACTTCCATTCGGATGCCTAAACTAGGCCAAGAAGAATCCGACCCGTTTCAAACCAAAAATATTATGCGGAGATTATTAAAATCTAAGAAGAACGTGAAATGATACACTGTCGTCATATTGCCAACCCCATTCAAGTTAGCCTGAATAGTTTATTATATTTCAAACAGGATTTATAATGGTACAAATAAATTTTCTTTGGTTTTTATTGATGGATTTTGAAAAAATAGATAAGTCGTTATCTGTTTTCGCCCTTTGGGTCAAATATGATTCAATTTGCCCACCATAAACGAGAATAGACTATTTTTAAAAATCAGCAAAAACCCAATACAAGATTTAAATACATTTCCAATAGCTTTTTATTTATTATTCAATTATTTCCACATTTTTTTCTTAGTAGAAAGCTCTAGTTTTGTTTGGCAAAGTCTGTAACTGTAAACTGTAACTAGTTTTCTTATGTGGATGTCACCTCTGTTTAGCGTTAATAAATTTTTGTTTGTTGATTGGAGTTTTGTAGAAGTTAATTAATGTTTTCTAAATTTGTATAGCAAATGATTTATTTATTATGATTTACATAAATGTATATATTTATATGTAAAATGTTTTCCTGATTTCTAATTTCACACAAACTAAACTATAACGAAATATATATTGTTGCAGAGATATCCTGTTTAAAAGACGTCATCTTAGACATAGAACCAAGAGTGGTGGAATACGGACGAGAAAGTACACTAAGGTGCAGCTACGATTTAGAGAACGCCTTGCTCTATACCGTGAAGTGGTATCGGGGTCAGTTCGAGTTTTATCGATATACGCCAAAAGAACACCCTAGCACAAAACCGTTGGACCTGGATGGACTCTACATAGATGTGAGTTATAGTTTTGGTTGGGATTTTCTTATAAAAATAATAAATATTGCTAATAAAATTCCTTTGTCGTGAATAAATATTTTCAATAGAATTTTTTGAGCAACAAAAAAAATATGATCTAATCCTTCGCTATAATTATTTAATCAATCAATCAAATTATTTGATTTCGTTGTATAAGTCATTATAAGTCATTCCAAAAATACTTTTTCATATTTACCGTACTATAAAAGTTCTGATTTACCGCATTGTTAATGCAATGCAATATGGTCACATAATGTTTAAGTGGCAATGTTTGGTAGATTCTTTTCCCACATACTTACCCACTTCACTGCATATGTACTTTTAATTTACCTATTTTATAATAATGTACATTTTGTTAACAGAAAATGAACTTTACATAATTTATTCAAAATTAGATATTTTAGTTTTAATATTGACATTAATAATGTGCATAGTAGAACAGGAATTAGTTCAGCAAGATGATCATCATCATCTGCAATTCTTTGTCACTACAATTTTCTCATTCCTTAAACAGAAAACACGACTTTCCTATGTCACTGGATAATAATTTTAATTTTAAATTTCTTTCGTTTCTTTCCCGTGAATCGGATATTGAGTATTTTATGATAAACTGTCTGAAATTATTAACATGTGTGTTCCTCGTGTTGGAAAGTCAGCTAATAATAGGTATCCTCCCGAGTTTAATTCAAATATAATATACAATGTAAAAAAGTTAGATTATACATCTGGGTACAAATGTGATATTAATGGCCTGGAAAATATTCAGCGTATGTTTTTGAAGTATGTATGATATAATTTTTCAAGTAAACTTCCACAGGCTACTGTACTGTAATACCTTTCACAAAACTTCTGGATTCTTCCTGCGTCGGTCAAATCATCGCAAATCATCCTATTGGCTTCTTCAGAGGTTGACTGAAACTGGCTCGTATTTTACTCTGTACCTGCTTATATATTGTTTGAGTGGGCGCCAATGAGGGGTCAACCCTAGTAGATTTTCTTAGACATTTAAACTAGATAGACGCTAACATACGTTCCACCATTGAGTTGGAAGCTAATAATAACCTTGCATTCTTAGACATTCTTATCAATAGAAAATCAGACCTAACATTGGGTCATTGTGTTAACAGAAAACCTACGCACACAGTCCGATACCTTAATGCATGGTCACATCACCATCCGGCCCAAAAATCATCGGTTATCAACTCTCTTGTTTACAGAGCCGTAAAAGTATCTCAGCCCGAGTCACTGAAAACAGAATTAAAACACCTTACTTCGGCTCTTCTCTCTAATAATTTCCACATTAAAGATATTGAGCGTTCCATCACAAAATACACTTCACAACAACCTTCCAATAGCAATGAGGCCGAAAGCAATCCTACACTTGCTACTGTGGTCCTTACTTACAAAACATCACTGACCACATATTAAAAGTTCTAAAGAAGTATAACGTCAAAACCAGATTTACCACTTGTCCAAAAATCTCTCAACATCTTCGGTCCGTCAAAGACAAAATTCAGCTGTTGCCGAATACACTCATGAAACCGGGCATAACTAAAATTCTCTATAAATTCTATATAAACAACTTAACAAACTTAACCGCGACTCAGATCTCTACTTGTCACCAATTTGGGAATCAGTCATCGCAGACGGTGTTCATACCCCTCATTAGCGCCCCCTCAAACAATAAAAAAGCAGGTACAGAGTAAAATACGAGCCAGTTTCAGTCAAGCTTTGAAGAAACCAACAGGATGATTGGCGAAACGTCCGCAATTTCGACTCAGCAATAACCGACGCAGGAGAAATCCAGAAGTTTTGTTTGTTGTAAGTTGGACGGAGTATATCCCCCACAATACAATATTATTGATTAGTGATCGCCTTGGTCGCCATTATTTAATGACTTTATTCAAAAATTTAAATAAATTGTTTGATTGCTCTGAACCATTACATACATACATACATTCTGCCTACACCAAGAACTAATATTTTAAAATTTTCACCTATTTTCTCAACGTGCTTCAAATACAATGCTCGACACGATTTGGAGGTAAAAACGTTATTGCCCCATTAACTATAATTATTAATTTCAGTCTTTTCCCATCTTTCGTTTTTTTATTAGAGTTAATGATTATGTTAGAATAATGGCTCTGTAACTATTTAATACTTTGTACTACAAACATCCTGTTAGTTGGGCTTCATGAATAAATGAATAATGAATAAATGAATGAATAAATGAATGAATAAATAATAATAAATAATACAGGCCGGCAGCTGGTTACAGTTTTGCAATTTTATAAGAGAACGAGCTTTGGTATCTGTATTTTTCATTATTTTGTGCTTTGGCATGACATAGTTCGACCGAAGAAAAGGGTAATCTAAGTGATAGCTAAATGAAAAGGTCAGGCTCTGAATCATCTGCAAGCACGTTTCATCTCACCGCAACAGTGCCACCCAATATACCGAACTGCAATATATATATATATATATATATATATATATATATATATATATATATATATATATATATATATATATATATATATATATATATATATATATATATATATATATATGAGTTCTTGGATCCTTCTGATTTTATATATTCTTAAGAAATGGTTCTTGGGTTTTTTTTGGTCCTTTTTTAGTGAAATTAAAATAAGTTTCCGTTACTTGTGAAACATTTTATTTTTTGTGACGTTTCGGCCTTCAAGACCTTCTTCAGACTTTTAATTTTAACCTACAAAAATGTGTTTTTAAATAAAATTATTTATAGCATTGTTTTCCTGGTCATAATTAAAACATAGATAAAAATTTGTATAGGAGTCAGCATTGAAATGATTAAAAATTACTAGTGCAAGTCAATGGAACAAACAAAGTGATGTAATCGTAATATAAAAAATTATGTATGTTTTATTGTTGTGCATCTATTTTTATACAATTTTTAATCACTTTGTTTGTTCTATTGACTTGCAATAGTAATTTTTAATCATTTCAATGCTGACTCCTATACAAATTTTTATCTATGTTTTAATTATGACCAGGAAAACAATGCTATAAATAATTTTATTTAAAAACACATTTTTGTAGGTTAAAATTAAATGTCTGAAGAAGGTCTTGAAGGCCGAAACGTCACAAAAAATAAAATGTTTCACAAGTAACGGAAACTTATTTTAATTTCACTAAAAAAGGACCAAAAAAAACCCAAGAACCATTTCTTAAGTATATATATATATATATATATATATATATATATATATATATATATATATATATATATATATATATATATATATATATATATATATATATATATATATATATATATATATATATATATATATATATATATATATATATATATATATGTATACATAATTTTTAACATTAGAATTTATAACATTACGATTGAAACCTCATATCACTCTCTCTATCCATGAGAATTCCTATTTTTTTTGGACTGTTGGTTAATGAAAAAGTTCTTCAGTTGTTGTTATGGAAAGTTGAGGTTTTTCCAAAGAAAGTAATTGGTTTCAAAACCGTATAGTGTGCGACTCAGAAAAACGCAATGTTATTTAAAATAATATTTATTTTATTATGCATTTATCAAAGTATTTTCTGCTGTGTTTAGTAAACGAAATCATTAGCAAATAATGTATGAACCAAATAAAGTCAATTCGTAAACTAGCGAACACATTCCGTTTACCTTTATTAAATCTTGTCGAGTTTAGTTCTCAGTAAGGGTGCAATATTGCTGAAGGGCTCAATTTGTTTAAAGAGGGGGACGAGATATTAGGACACGCCCACTTCGTCTGGTTACACCCCAGCGCTTAATTGGGGTTGTTGAAATTGTAGAGCTCCGTCAAGTGTACTAAGTAAGCGTTAAATAATCCTAAATTGGCTTTTAATTTTAAATTTATTTGCAATCAAAAATAGGAGCAACAAGGATCGCGTAAAGCTAAAGCTAGCCCTTCATTACAGTGATATAAATAAATAGAATTGAAACCATGCGTTTCAGACTCGTTTGATTTTATATATTGAATATTGTTGGAAAATTAATTGGAATATTGACCTCATTATCGCGTTACATTAAATGCGTTAAATGATACTCCGCGTATCCAAACAGATCATTAATTGTGCGCTACAAAGCTACACATTTTGTTAATTTTAAAATAAATATTCATTAAAATTTGCTCAGTGTAAACAAAACATTTTTTAAAGTCGGCTAGACCAAATTTTTATATATATATATATATATATATATATATATATATATATATATATATATATATATATATATATATATATATATATATATATATATATATATATATATATATATATGTAAATTGTTTTTTTCTAATTCTTAAAATGTTTTTTCGTTGCATGTTGTAGGAATTCGGTTCCAACGAACACCAAGTCGTTCTACGCAACGTCAGTTTCAATCTCTCTGGGAATTTTAGCTGCGAAGTAACTACAGAGCCTCCACTATTTTCAGTGCAAGCGGATACCAAAGAAATGCTTGTAGTCGGTACGTACCATTTAATAGCTAACAATAATGGTTATTGCTAATTAACAGTTTTTGCAAAATAACAATTATTGTTAATGAACGGTATTCTAGTTCGTCACCTTGAACCACACCAATTGTTAAGTTAACAAGGCATTGCCAATTATATTGTCAACTCAGCTACCAACTTAAGAAAGGTAGGCTTTGTGTAGAAGCATGAATCCTACCACTGTACATTTAGCAAGTGTGATAAGTCATTTCGAGTTAACAAACAAGCCTGCAGATATTTGATTGCTGAAATGAAACTATTTCCGCAAGCCCCAAAAAAACTTCCTCTTCATTTACACGCTAGTTAACGGAAATGAGGTATTTTGGGCATTGTATTATTACCTATTAGATTTTTGTGTCTCAGTTTATTCATGCATTAGTTATTTAAAATTAGTTGAATTATTATAGAAGTAATTGTCTGTTCTATAGATTTCATCTCTCTTTCTGTTTTTCGACCATTTCAATATTGAAGCGAAAGACATACAAAATTATAAGGTTAGGAAACATACGAGCTTAAACGAAAGCAATTCTTTCTATTGTTGTAATGTAAGTTAAGTCTTACTTCATAACCATGACCATTACTTAACCTAGTATTTTTCAATGGAAGAGAACCATGTTTCTAGATCGATTTGCGCAATTCTTCACCCGGAAATCCGTAAATAAACAGACAAAGCAATCCAAGAAAGTTATATTCGTGGATTTAAATGAGCGCGAATTATTAAGAAAAGGGAATTTACTAAATTTTCGCGAACTTTGGGGCTATTAAAGCATACTTCCGTGTCCGCTTTTATAAAGTTAGAATAAGAGCTCTGGCCAGGAGTTTTTTTTCTTAAATATACTGTTAAGCATTCTTTCTTTTATTTTTCCAAAACTATATTTAAAATGAAATGCAAATCGGGTCTCCGTTCGCCGAAATAAAGCATGTCGGATTCGTAAGCGCCATGAAACGTTTCGCATGGAAATGCTTCGATGCGCATACAAATACCGCGTGTTATTTTATGGTGTTCGCGAATAAGGGGTTTACCAGGCGTCGCGCCATTTCTTGCCCAATTTCGTACATTTCCCGCATTTGGAGTTATATTGATTCCGTATTATAAAAGCGGAGTTTATTCGAAATCCTGGAATCGGATGTTTATAACTTTGTTGAATAAATAACGGATTCTCGACAAGCTGTCGCGTTCTAATGATTTCTCTCGAATAAGTAATGATGTAGGTATTCTAGCCCGTTTTGTGTGACTTGTCATGTAATCGTCAGAAATAACAAACTTCAGTTTATCCTCTGCTGAAATCTACTGGAAACATCCTGAAAATATCCGATCGCACCTAGATCGTGACTAAAGTACCGCCAGTGACCGACGGTTTTTCCGATGGCATATTCACTAAAACTGCAACGGTACGATATTACTGAGTAATGTATGGTGTATTCGTAATTGGAATGTTTTAACAAGAAAAACCCATGGATAAACTAAATAAATTCAGAGGGCATTTTCAAATTCGAATAAAAATATTATTAGAGCACATTTTTATATACTAAGATTTTTTTGCCCCAAATTAATACAAATTTCTATATCACGGTATTAAAAATACCTGTGGTGAAACACTTTCAATCATGTATGGTTGTTGATATCTGTCATGAAAAATAGCGAAAATATTTTTTGTGCATATATATATTGCGATTACAATCAAAGGAGGGCACATTTTATATTTTATCCAGAAGGGACTACACAAGTAATTCATAAAATGCCTACACACCCTCAGCGAACATAAACAAAAACTGATGAATTTGAAGCAGTTTCTTTCCCACTTTTTTGGCGATTGAATGTGTTTTAGGTAAAATGATGTCGCTGCTTTCATGTCATACAAGAATTACTCTAATGTTTTTTTGTTTCATTGAGAACATTTATCGGTAAATATTGAGAGAAAAGATAATGACGTTTTATAAGTAATTCGAGAGAGAACTTATAAATATGAACAAGAAATGAATATAAAATTTTAAAGCAATCCCTGTGACACCTTAAATTTCAATCTCGCGTTGGTAAGGATAGTCGCATTGTCACAGACAATTCGTTAGCACTTACATACTCAGATATTTGTGCTTTAATTTTTGACTTTTTTAATTGATTGATTAAATGTAAAGGGAAATAATAAGCTAATTAACTTTTTTGTTTTGATTAGCAACATAACTATTTTATTTAATTTTTGTATAATTTATTAAAAAAATTACCTAGTACAGGTTACAGATATCTTGAACTGTCAAACATAATTAATGTCTTCCATTTCTTGTGCCCAGATGCCCAGAGTGGTGCAATTAAATTATTAAAATAATAAAATAATAATTAGTTTTTATCATCAAATCAATCTGCCCAGAAGAAAACGTCTAGAAAGTATTTTTTTAATGATTTCCAAAACAGTAAAATTAAAAACCTACTCTACGAATTTTACAGCATTTTTGAATATATTTATTGCAGTTCATGCTTTCGCAAATCTAAGTGAGATATTAGAAGTCGTCACATGTTCTGTTATTTATTCATCGTCCAATGGATACAAAACGCAAAAACTCTTTCTCCCTCAGACACAAAACCGCTTAGAATACTTTGTCGCTATAAATTGTGGCAATTAAATTACATTTATTTATTTAACGGATTAAAAAAATGACATGTAAGTATATGTAAAAAACAAGTAGAAATTAAAGAGGAAGGAACTGTTTGCAAAAATGTAACAATAAAACAAACAATTTTGCTATTCTTCTTCTGCTTTTATCACATGAGAGTCAAGTGCGCCAGTTTTTCACGATATTTTGCAATCAATGCATTCACGAAAAAATGTATTTAAGTGTTATAATCACATATTGGTGGCGAGTAATTTCCATTTTCCCACGAACCAATGCGAACGAGATTTTTAGTGCCACACAAAGGGAGTGTAATGGAATATTTGGATTTAACACAACGCCGACCCAAATCCGGTTTTCGCAGAATCATTTCTCCCGTGAAATTCAACTGCAATGACAGAGCAATTTAACAAAGTGCGTAAAGGTACACCGTTTACAGCCGTAATGTGTTGGGGGTGCAAAATAGGATTACAAGGGTTTAATTAAAGGAGAAAGGAGTAGGACATGATTCACTGCGACGAAAATAACTTGAGGCAAATGGTTTGACCTTTGCAAAATCTTTTTGGGATCTTTATAATATGGCTTAATATAGTCCCTATATTAAAATTTTTATTCTCCGTCACAGAAATTTAAATATTAAAGAACTTTTTCAAAGGATGAAGCACTAAATTGCATTGTTTGCTTGGGCAAGGCGTGTCATTGATTTCACTTTTCCGGTGTATTTAGTTAAAAGGAATGTTTAAATGGAATTTTTAATAAAAAGTCTCATTTTCATTATATTTTGTATATTCAAATATTATAACGATCGGCTACAGTAGGTCTTGTAAGCGTTCCAAATAACTTTGGTTAGCAGGAATCAGGTAAAGCATCTCGGGAAGAGGGCTAGAATATTCGACCCGCATTACGAGAAGGCCCTGCATTCTAAAAAAGCGAAGCACCGCTCCCTGGCGCGTCAGTCGAAAAGTGAAATCGTTGAGCGCGCAAATAGTAATAAAAAGTTATAATAACTAATCAACGCTATTAGTTACATAAATTATTGGTAGTGTAGTGTATAAATAGTTAGCAATTTTGTTTTTTTTTAAGAACGTTGGTTCCAATTGAGCTTCTCCTTTTCGAAAATTCCTGCAAGTTCAATAGCCTCACTAAATCATAACACGCTGGGGATACATTACATTATGTAACAAGTGTGATAAACGCCATTTGTACTCAAAAACTAAAGGTCGTTGAAGAAGTATAATATGCGACCAGTTAAACTTCTTCAGTGACCCTTTATTAAACTCGGCAAACTAACCAAAACAAATTCGTGACTAAAGTGGTTTTTCTAGAGCTTTTTTCTGCTTGCTGACGTACAAACTGACATGAAAGTTGACTAACGAATGAAATCTGCTCCTGCGTTGTCTACAATTAAAACAAATATCACCAGCACAGAGAGATTTTTAGAAAAGTTTCTTCAAATTTTTTCTGCGATCCTTAATTTATAATAAAATGTCAATAGTAAAATGCTAGTTTCTTCAAATGTTTTCTATTTTCCTTAATTTATAATAAAATATCAATAGTAAAATATTAGTTTTGGTTAGAGTAGACCCAAACTTTGACGTAACAACTACAGCAAAATTGTTTCTGTTTCTCAAAAGATTCAAGACCATTTGAAAACTCGTGACGACAATTGACTCTGTTTTAATTGCCTTATCTAAAATTCTACCAACCAAAACTTAATTACGAGACGACAAAATCGCAAAGGAAATAAGAATAAGAAAAAAATGGCAATTAGGGAAACTCAAAACTTCGAGTATCAATTTCATAAAATACAATCTATATAAATAAATAGTCAATGTTTCAAAATTATGTATTTCTAGTTTCTCGTCGGGTTATAAGTAATGAAACTGACTAGAAAAAAGTAAAATAATAATAAATAAACATGTTTTCTTTTACAATCTTACGAAAAATGGAGGCCAATTTACCTATGATGTATGGAGAATAACAAGTTCATAATTTGAAAACAAAAGTAGCAAACTAAAAACTAAATTTTTCAATATTTATCAATATCTAGAGACTCTAGGGCACGTCCCTAACGGTAGTCGAAAAAGCACTGAAAGATATCTTTGAATGCTGATAGAGCGATAAATTTTAAACTGTCATTCGATGTTCGCGTAATCCAATACAGCCGGGAACATGTGTGTTTTTTTCTAGCAAAAAATCACGTCCCGTATTGCGTTACGTCGAGCTGGGAAATCACTTAAGCCTAATTGGCATTAATTTTTCAAAAGGCACTGGTCGGCAATTTCGTTTGTTGGTCTTGTGCAACGTTGCAGCCGAAGCGAATGGATGTACGATGTGTTCGTGGAAGTGTTGAATACGTGTAATTTTT